ACCAATAAGAAACAACACTGGGGTACGTGACATTGATATCTAGCACGACCATAAAATTGACCAATAATTTTTTTAGGATATTGAATGAATATCCCAACAATTTCATAGATAACTTCGAATACTGACGTTTAATCTATGTGGTGACCGGTGCTGACTAAATGCGAAAGGTGAGATTCATATTATGACTTTTCGTCATTTGGTCAATCATGACGAGTACTGTTACTAAATACGATCACTTACTTACTTACTCATATTAGTGGTTGCTCTGGTTGTGAGAAGGGGTATCGACCTCGTAACTTTCAAAGAAAATCAGCTTTCATCATGAGGTGTCATAACTCTTCTACATAAGGAGCTTCCAATTTCCAAGGTAGAGTTTAAGTGGTTTAAATTAATTTTCTTCTGATAAGCTTTTGCTTAGCTAGTTAATTTACTACGGGATTGGATAGTTAATCACACACCCAACCCTAATTTTTTATTCAAGCCACGAACCGGCAGTAACCTCAGAAGTCTTCAAGGAGTACATATTTAACTGATTGTGCGCCCAATGTGACTAGCTTCTCAAGAGCAGTTAAAGTAGTAATTGCACATAGAGGCAGAAAACTCACTATCGACCAACCGAAGAGCGTAGGACATAATTTTGTTGAATTAGAGATAGGGAGATGATTGTTTTTTTCATATTCGAAATCATCAATCAATCACTGTTGGACCACGATTAGAAACCTGAAAGCATTGGACGGTCGTTTCGTCCTGGTATGGGACTCACCAACAGTGCGCATCCACGACTCCCGCACCTCACAGGATTCGAACCCGAGACCTTCGTTCTTGCGCGCCAACGCGAGTGCTTCCAGATTTCTTATCGTTGTCTAACAATGATTGATTGATAGTTTCAAATGTGTATTAATCTTGTTGCATTGAATGTGCTATCTAAAACTTTTTGTATTTGTCAAGTCACTTGTTACATCAGTTTATAGCATCCTTCAAATACCTTTTGGAAATGACAACATTATACAATAATGTTTATTCTTACTCTAACAAAATCATTTCTATAGAATCGATGTTCTAGGACTTATCCTCTCACACTGTACACATCTGTAACATGTTTTTGTGATCTGAATAACTTTGCGCTTTGAAGTATGTCAATTTCCACTATAATTGTACTTTATACAGATTAATAAATTAACCCTCTACTGTCAAGGGCAACTGTACATTACTTTTGAGGAGAACCAACCCCGTAGTGCACCCAAACAGGTACCTGATACCCTAGAGGACCATTCACAACATTTATATATACGTAGTACGTATATAGTGATTATTTCCGATTCATGATTGCATCAATCAGTATGCACAGTATGAACAGGCCAATTTGACCCATTCCGCTTACAAGACTGTCAAACTCATTAATAGTAGCAATGGTGATATGCAATACAGCACCGCATTGACAATCGCCCTCGAAAATGTCGCAAAATAACCACTAGTTTCGATAAAATTGGTCACCGAGCTAACCAATTTTGTATATGGACTGTTAACAATGCTTACCGAAGCAAAGCCAAGTCATCCACAATATACACAGCGAACCTTTGGCCTCATAGGAAACCTTCAACTCTATATAACAGTATAGCGTATCGTGTACATATATATGGCGTAGGATAGTAGAAGATGCAGTCCAGCTTCATGCGAACAGGCCCAGACACTCTTAATACCCTTTGTCTCATGTTGGGTAATGATTTTTTCTCAATTCCCGAAATTTTCATTTTTCAACTATATAATACCTGGGGGTTAGAGGTAGTAAGTAGTATCCCAACTATTTTTACAATTTTAAAATATATTATAGGTTGTAAGCAACTGACAAAAAGAGAATTTGACCAAAATAAAATAAATTCATCTTATTGTACACTAATTTTTGTTTCTTTTTGCCACTGAATTTATTAATGAAAAGTTTGTTTTTATAGACCACTTTTACTTTTTTTTTAATAGACTTGATATTACGTCATTTTTATTGTTTGCCTTAGCATTAGTGGTTACTAACTAAGTTTTGCATGACTTACACATGTCAACTAGCATAGTCTACAACAATCTGTATTTTACAATAGACTGTTATTGGAACACTGTTCTCCCTACTACTAGTTTGTACACTAAAACAAAAAATTGACATCAAGGAATGAATATGTCTGAACGTTGTCTTGGTAACCACAATGATACAACATAACTATGATTATGATCTGATATGAAGACTTATAATTATTATTATTATTATTATTATTATTATTATTGGTGAATTCTATTGTAACGAAATTTCCACTGAAATAATTTTCTTTAAGATAAATCAGACTAACTAGTAGTACACGTCATTAAATAAAATTGTATGATAAGCTGTAGAAAGTAAATAAGTCAGAAATAGCCTAAATGCATTGCAGAAATTTATTTCCGGAGTAAAATTGTAATTTTACTAACTGGATATCGTTTTAAAAATTATAATTAAAGGAAAATGTTTTGAGGTTAGATAATTTTCGAATTGCTATTTTGATATTTGTTGAGAATTTTTGATACAAACTACCGGGGTAACTGGGTGATTTGAGTGTGTGAAATAGTACTGTTACTAGACAGGGGATACGAGACGAAATGGGCACTTTGATTAGTGAGACTATGAATTTTTTTTTACTGAATAAGGTGACTGAAACATGTGATACCTTATTTCAAACATTTGTCGAGCCCACAGTGATTGATTGTCCCAGTCTTTGGACAAATTCATTAGTTTATTCATCTTGAGTTATTGACACGTCTATAAACCTTGTCTGTTATTCACTCATAACATGGTTGTTCTTACTTTCATTGCATCAAGCTGACTTATTCACATTCTCCACTTCGCTGTGCTTGTACATTTTTAAGTCTAGTGTGTCTGCTTAAATGAAAGGGAAGTATTATTTCATAGCGCATTTAGTCAGATCGCGGGCCACTAAAGTAGTGTGCCGCACTTCGAACCTAACCTACCCACTAAACACTGTCGTAGGAAGCGATTTGTCTCCCCTTGACTTATAACTGACCATTTTTTAGAACTACACTGCTAAAAATAACTCGCACAGTCGAAGAGTATATAGATCGTTAAAATTATTCATGTGTCACTAGAAGGATCGTGAAACTTAAAAGACGTTACTGGTTTCAACGTAGTTCATAAGTCTTTAGCAGCTTACAATCAAATCTCTCTATTTTTGCAGCAGATTAACGCTACTAGGACATGTTCTCCCTGAGAAAAGTCAACTTCCATTCGGTCAAGTTATCTGATTGCAATGTTCACGTACAGATTAGTCGACCAATGGATGAAATTAAATCATAAGTCAATGATCTAGCACGACCGAAGCTGCTACCTTGACGTGGCGGCCGGGCTTGCTTGTCGTGATGACCCAACCGAGCTATTTTGGGTGGAACATATGTTCCTGAAGGTTCTGCTATTCCGGGCAGGTCGATTGGAGAACATTTAGACTAAAAGCAGTATCAGGTTTGACTGCAGAGAGGTGTGACAGCAGTAAGGTGTTTCCCTCGGACAACCAGCATCTGCAGCGATGCTGCCTTCTCACAAGGAAGGAAGGGTTAGAAAAGGTCGACCCTAAGAATGTCACACCTCACCCTACCTCACGGATTTCCGTCTCCGTCGGTAAGGGTGCCCACTAAGGACCTTTAAGAGCGGAGCTAATACTCAAAAAACCTTTTATAAAAAGGCCGTGCGTGACCGGCCTCAAGCAGTTGTCCCTTGGGCTCTGCGGTCACGCTCCCAGGTCGTTAAGACCAACGCTAATCCACTGCACATCAGTTCGCTCCGTTCTCCTATATGGATGCGAAACATGGCCGTTAAGAGTAGAAGATGTTCGTAGGTTACTAGTATTCGATCATAGATGTTTAAGAAGCATTGCTCGTATATCGTGGGACAACCGAGTAAGCAATGCTGTCGTTAGGAAACAAGTACTAGGTAAGGATGGCAGATCAATAGATGAAGTGGTGAAACTTCATCAGTTGAGGTTATTAGGACATGATTTACGTATGCCTAAACACCGACTGTCTCGACAAGCTATGTTTTATGGTGTAGAAGTAGGTTGGAGGAAAATTAGGGGTGTCAGAAATCCATGAATTCACTGACAAGTGGATTGAGTCATGTTGGTAGATGTAGGCTACGTGGTTGGGGTCCGCGAGACGGAAGTCACCAATGGTTAGAGACCTTGAACGACATGGCTCAAAACCGTTTACAATGGCGCATGTGCATCCATTCGTTGAGCTCTCTCAAATCCTAATCTTCTGTATTGGTCAGCACATCTACCTTTGTCTTTCTAACCTTACCTCACTTAGTCATACTTCTTGAATAATATCTTCAAACCCTAGTCTTCTTCATAACCAGTAATACCTCTACTGTCTTTATCACTATGGGATTTGATTTGACATTTGCGTCTCTGTGCGTCTCTGTGTCTCTGTGGTATGGCAACATGAACTGATGTACATACGTACGAAAGTGAAAACAATGACAGCCTTAAGGCGAACAACGACCAATCAAGATCGAAGTTAACAGAGCAAACTACAGGTGATACGTGGAGAATTTAGAATACTTCACTTCTGTGCCTGAAGTTTGTACTGATGATGTTGTTTAGCAGAAGAACAATGAAAGCCCCACAACCGAAACATCTAGCCCAGAGGATGAAACTCCATCACAAACAAATGCATTTTTCTTTATCAGTGTTCTTTATTAGATCTTGAGATTTTATATATACTCAGCCCTCACTTGAAACCCTCAAAGTTAAAAGAAACGAGGAAGGCCAATGAACAAATTACACCTAGAAATGGAGACAGACATTTGAAGAATGTACGAAAATTGAACGAAACTGAAAAGATGAGCCCAGGACAGAGTAGACTGGAGAATACTGATCGGCGGCCTATGCTCCGTTTGGGGGTAACAGACAGAAGTAAAAAGTAAGTAAGAAACATACATTACTAAGTCACAATTACCCTCATTTACTTACCTGTAAATGTACTAACACTATTAGCAAATCCCATAACCAAACCTGAGAAATTAGGAGCTAAATCAATCACATTTACAGCATAACCTGCTACGGCCAATCCAGAAAAACCTGTTCAGTAAAAAACAAATGTATGAAAAAAGGTAGCATTAGTTAAAACCAGAAAAATAATCCGATGAAAACAAACACCAAGTATGTGAATAAAACAAAAGAAAGGAATGAAAGGATTAATTTTGACATGGTCAATGGTTCATTGAACATTGATCTGAAATATTTCAAGAATCTGGTTACATTATTATTCTTAATCAAAAGACAATTTATTGGAAAAAAGTAGGTCTTTTGCTTATTATGTCATTGAGTAAAGCTTTAAAATTGTACATTTATTATTACTTTACATGTTGTTATGCTTGAAACTATTATGAGTTCACTTCAGTCGATAAACGAGAACGAGACAATGAACCAGAGTCCAGGTTGGCTACTGTGACCCGTTGACACAAATGAACTAACGAAAAAGTCTTGATATAGCGTAGAAAGTGTATTCTACAAACACCCAGCGAACACAATGATCTCAAGCACACAAATCGCGTTTATTTATGCACCATAAAGAGAGGTCTTTGGGAGAGTCACAAACATAGCACACTAAAATAACACAGTAACCAATCACAGCCAAGGATTTTCCTGGTGAGCAATGTGATCTCAAGGTCAACTGACCGGCCCATGAATAAAATTCAAAATAAAGACATTTATCAAGTGAGTTCTGGGGATCTAACGTCCCCAAAACATATAACGAGTCCTTCATAAATATTTAAACAGCAAAGTAGAAACAGGCACTTTGTAGTTACTACTGTCGAAATCTGAGAATTTAAAAATCTATACAAAAGTAAACAGTTAGACATTATGCTTCAAAATATTACGATAAGCATTGACAATGAATGGGGTTGCACAAAATCTACATATTTATCAAAGTTGAATATTAACACCGTCCGGCGCCTGTCGGCTCAGTGCTCTTGAATTTTAGAGTTCGCGCACAAGACTGAAGGTCCTGGGTTCGAATCTTGCTAGCGGGATTAGTGGGTGCTGATTGCTGAACAGTCTCATACTAGAAAGAAACGCCCGTTCAGTTCTTCCAGGTTACTGATGGGGTACTAACAATGATCGATTTCAGGATATCATTGTAAAATATTCAATAAAATCAAAGAATTCTATACAGTACATATATTTGCATACATAAGTCCAGCTGGAACTTTATTGATACTTATAATGAAGGATATTAAATGTTTATGTATAGTATAGTCCAGAGTGAGAAAGGGAGGAATACCAGAAATAGTTAAAGCTATTATTTAAAACTGAAAATTCGAAACTATGGAAAACAGGTTCATCCTGGTACGGGATTCCTTAACAGAGTGTACCCTCACTTGGAAGTCAAAAGCATGACCTTTGATTTTGCATACAAACGCCTAACCTCTTGACCACTAAGTCAAGATCCAACAGTGTTAATTAATGCTTAACTTCAGTCAATTCACACTGTTACAAAAATTCTTATCTAATACCTATGTTTGATAACTGTCTCACACCCAACATGGTAAAACTTCACAGACTCTCAATAGAACCCTGAAAATTATCTTTCAAAGCTTATCAATAGTGAGTAAAAGATAAGTGTTGTGGATTGATTGCAGTTCGACATTGCACATCAGTGGATGCCAGCTCAGTATTCTAGAGGCTGAGCGTTCGTGACAGATCAAAGGTCGAGTTTTTATATCCTGAATTAAGGGTTATAGATGTGTACTGTTTAAGTGTCTCATACAAGGATAAAACTGCCGCCATCCAATGCTTTCAGGGTTTTCATTTTCGACCAAGTTCAGCAATCTCCCCAACCATAAACGTGCAAATATCAGACTAAGACATATCTTCAGTTAACTTATTATTATTATCAATGATTATTTTCAATCGGTTTTACTTCTGTTAACAATGATATCACTTTAGTGAAAAGAAATAGACTTTTTTTATTTAAATTACTACGTGACAAAATTTCATCAGAAAATCTCTTAGATGATAAGAAAAAACATTTCGTAAAGTTAAGAGGAGAAATTTGAAAATTACGCTTTTAACGCTCAATCAACAAACAGATTGATAACAAATTTGAATTCTCAAGTTTCACGTAAAAACTCTACATTTAAATGAAAAATTTTTTTAAGACAAAAATGTATCCTGCTTTAATTGATAAAAAAATTTACACAGTATTCAATCAAACAACCCAACACAATTGAAATGAAATCAATTCAAATTTTGTTCCAAAAGTATGTCGTTATTAATTTGATGTACTTAAACAAAACAAAAAAAATTTCAGCATTAAATTTATTCAAGAATTATGTTAAATGTTCACGACTGTTAACACAACAAAACCAATAACAACTAGCAACATCTGTCTTATATGCCTGATTGGCAATAGAACAACACTAAAACATTTGAATTCAAGTGTCAATTAAAACACTTTGTTCAAATGAAAACAAATAACAACTGGAATCAGTAGAAAAACTCTAATGAATATTTATGAAGGGAATTTCAAAAAATAAACCAAACCAAAAGTATGATTGATTTGGCTCAATCATGAATAAATTAACTAATGTTGTTGTAATTCATGTTTGTTCAGTTTATCAGTAGTCATTTTACAAATTGTAGAAAAAAACTGGTACAAATGTGATGGGAAGGAAACACATTGTGAGTTTTTAATTTGTTTTTCGTTATGTCAACTCAATATGAATAACTGTATACATACAGGTTAAGAGGTATAAAATAAAGAAACTGAATTGGTTTCATCTGTTAACCCCATGAAAACGATTGTTATTTTGGACGGATGTATTTACGTACTTTAGTAAGTTTTCCTGGTCAATAGGCTGAAGAAACTATGAGGATGGTTTGTAGTTTAGTTGAATACTACTAGCGGTTTTGTTTTTAACGAGTTGAATCTCATCTTGAGCATAATCAGTCAGTCAGTTAGTCAGTCAACTACAACGCAGAACTTCGTAAGTACGTATATCAGTTCAAGCTGCCGTACCATGCTAACACACGGAGATCGAATCGTCGATTAAATCTCATAGTAGTAGATGTAGTAGAAGTACGAGAGAGGTAATGGAGAAGATTAGGGCTCAGAGATATGATTCGAAAAGTATAATCTAGTGAAATAAACTTAAAAACAGAAAGATAAATGTAATCAGGAATGGATGTGCTTGTGCCAGTGTAATCGATTTTGAGCTATGCCTTTCAAAGTCTCTGGCCATCGGTTACCATCAACTCGCATACCAAACCAGATAGCCTGCACTTCTAAACATGGCTTAGTCAAGTTGTCAGTGACTTCATGCATTTGTGCCGTATTTTGGTCTGGCCACCCCTAACTGCCTTCGAGCCTGCTCTGACATCTCAAGACATAGGTCGGTTAAACAGGCTCTGGTCGGGCATACGTTACACATTGCCTAACCACCTCAACTGATGACGTTTCACTAATTCATCTATTGATTTGCCATTCTTAACTAGTACTCGTTTCCCGACAACAGGACTACTTACTTGGTTGTCCCAGTATATACAAGAAATACTTGGAAAACGCCTATGATCGAATACTAGTTCGCTACAAGTATCCTCTACTCTTACTGGCCATGTTGAGCACCTGTATAGTTAGATAGAGCGAACTGTCGCGCAGCAGTCTCGTCCTTTGGTTAACAGACGGAACTCTTGCTTACACCATGAGCGATGTAATTTGAAAAAGTCATTTGGACTTATTGAATCCATACTGGGATATAGCAAAAACACAATACGGTAAGTCCACCACTGAATGTACCAATATCATTCTGTTTAGTTTAGCAAGAGACCATAAGTGTTGTTCTATAAATACCCACTGAGTATACATAAAACATCAAATGGTTTTCAAACAAATCAGTTCTAGTGAAAGATCCAAACGGTATCCACTGTAACAAATCAGAAACTGAGCATTCATAATCAACCTCTACAATTACTTTTCCTACCTTAGACAGATTATTCACTCTTTGTGTTAGGATATTCATCCAATATACTAAGAGAGTAGTTATTGGTCAATTCCTATTGGTTAATTCCTACTGGTCAATTTTATGGTCGTCCTAGATATCAATGTCACATACTCCAATATTGTTTCTTATTGGCTGTCCTGACTATCAATGTCACTTCAAATGTTGCGTCCTACTGGTCGTCTTGACTCCCAATGTCACAGAATTCGATGCTGTTTCCTATTCGACCTAAATGTATAAATACGCATTATCTGTAACGTATTATGACCACGACTAGGACCAGGACTCGGTCCCGGATCCCTAATCCGGGATCCTGATTCTCTTCTGGACTTGGACCTCGTACTTTCTGGATGCTTGTAGAATGCAGGTTCTACTTCATATCAAGTCTTCTTATTTTTTACTCATTATGGGGGTTGGGATAATCGGATTTGAGTTGCATGTCGTGTCACCGGATCCTCTATCCTGGCTCTCGTTTTCCAACTAGGTAAACTCGTAGTAGTTCAACTATATCAAGTTGACGCGCTTACTTGCAGGCGTAACACTTTGATTTTACTTTTCTGATCGATTCAGGATTTTGACAAAACTTTTAATTCTCAGCCTTTCTTCACAAATGCTACAGTCGATAATATTTGTCAGGTGAACTTGCGTAGACTTAATTTGTAAGCGCAATTTTGTCATGGGTTACAGTTTTCATCAATACAACCAATACAACAATAGTTTAAGTGGATATAGAATTTCTTTATACACCATTTCCTTGTGCTAAAATAATGTTTGTTTGCAAATGTATGTGCTGTGTATATCACCTCTGGGTTCCCTATCAATTCACTAGCATATCGATAAATCTCTTACAGATACTTGTTACATATTTTGATAGCACTTTGTTTCTCAATGTTATTCTGGTCGATCAGTTATCATTGTATTTAGGTGTGTCACATAATGAGCAAATTACTTTTGAAGCAGCTACTGAATACACAATCATTAATTATTTGCCACTGACCTCTATGGATATATATATATTAATTAGAGATGTGTGATACATTTTCCTTAGATTACAATTATTAATATACTAACCTGACAGT